TTTTCCATTTGCTAGCAACGTTCGGTATGGTAATGGCAACGATCTGGCGCCGCATATATAACGCGTGAGAGTTACTATTTAGTGGCTAAACTTCACCGACAAACGCGGCTAAGTATATCTATACACACACACACATGCGCGCGCGCGATCACGCACCAACAGACAAAGACCCCCCCCCCCCCGTGACATAATGTTGATATGGCAGGGTAAGCGTCGTTATCAGCGAGCACCTATTAAGGGCCGACACGATACCCGACAGGGTTGTGTGTAGTAAGTACCACGCCCGGTCGCCTTTGTCTTCCGCCCCCCCCCCCCCAATGTGTTAAGAGTTTGCACAACGCCCTTCGAGTCTCATTTTACGCCGAGTTGACCTAGGGGAGGGCCAGGACGCGTCCTGATATCACTCGCCAATGATGTTAGCTGTTGTCGGGAATCGAACTCGGGTCGCCGGGATCGTAGCACCGTGCGCGAAGCACTGCACGTTTGACATACACACATACATCGAGACACGCACGCACACGTGCATACAGATTCATGTACATAAGACAGATACATACACATAGATGCAGATACACAAATACAAACACACGGATACATACAAAGACAAAAGGACAACGATTGCCCCATATAACCTTGAACAGAATGTTGGGGCAAGTGCTGTCAGCGAGCACGTAAGGGGCCAATACGGCAGACGAAAAGGGTGCATGGCCATCACCGCGCCCGGCCGCCTTTGTCTCCCCAGTGCTGATGTTTACGCGCCGCACCAGGTACTCATTTCAGTCTGAGTCGACCTAGGGGGAGGCCCAGGACCGGCCTAGATCATCGCCACTGGGTGTGTTGGTGGCCGTGAGCGGGAATCGAAAATGGGTCGCCAGATTCGTTATTGTAGCGCAGCGCGCTAACCGCTGTACGCTACCACTATCCACAATGTATATATGTGTGTGTCTATATAAACAAACATATTAAAACATACAAACACACGTACGCACATACGCATATGTAGACAAAGATCCCCCGTATGGCCTGTAACAGACTGTTGGGGCAAGTGCTGTTAGCGAGTAGCACCTATGAAGGCCGGCACGGCACACGAGCGGGGTGGGGGGGGGGTCAACACCACGCCCGGCCGCCTTTGTCTCCCCCGTTGGCGATGTTTACACACCGAGCACCAGCCGGTGTCGACCTGGGGGAGGCCCCATGACCGCTTCAGACAATCGGGTGCGTTGGTGGCCGTGAGCGAGAGTCGAACTCGTGTCAAAGCCGGGTTCGTAGCGCAGCTGCTGAACTAACGCGCCGCACACAGACTCACACACACACATAGATACACGCATGCCTTTGAACAATGCCCCTTAAAAGAACACTTGTTAAACGTCAAACGCGAGCTGCTAGGAGCCGCATTCTACGGACAAATATATTTAAAAAAATATAAATATAACCCACCCGCTCGCATCGTTTCGTCGTTTCACTTGCTCGCGCCGTTCCACAGGTAATTTTATGAAGCCGCTTATCAAAGCTACACAAACACGCGCTACGGATTGCGTTGCGTGCAGGTGCCACAATAGCACTCACACCCCCCCGCGCGTTTATACAATGCTCACTTACACATCATGTTTACAGACGTATACAACCAGACAAGAAGATTGCAGTCCTCACCCCCTGTTTCGCCAAGTACTGTTAGCGATCGCCTATTAAGGGCCGAGTTAGACGGGTGTGTGTCTTCGTCTCCCCACTGCGAGCGTGTGCACGTGATCAGTCATCTTGCGACTTTACCCGTAACACCGAGTCCACGTACGAGAGCGCAAGGCCCAGGAGGGGTTCTACGCTGTCACTCGCCAGCGATTGTTCGCCGTGGCCGGGAACTTAACTCGGGTGCAGTGTCAGTGGCACATGTACAGGGGAGACACCCATTGAGTGTACTAGATCATAAATATAATGCTGTATGTGCACACGCACGCACGGGCACGCTAAGAGACAACATGCAAACGCAGATTTAGACGGAGATATTAAAGTCGTGTTTTTCTTTTTCAATGGACACGCGCATAAGTGAACTACTATATCACAAGGCACGTGCGAATACGAGTTGCGTGGTGGAATTAAATTAGCACTCGCGGTGTAATGGATGGTGATCGATAACGGTGGAGGAGTGGAGCGGTGGCGAAGTGGTTGGAGCCGCGCACTCAGAACGCGGGTTCCACGTTAAGTTCGAGGCCCGATCAAATCGATATCGAGGTGACATCTGAAACTCACCACCCACCCCGTCTTGTGCGAGCCCGCGCTTAACCGGCGCGGTGAAGTATGGACAAACGAATTGCCCATAACGAGCGCGTGCGTCGTCAGGACTTTCATCCAGCAGTGGATTGACAATTGGCCGTGCACTGAGGACCATAGCAATCGCGGGTGGCGTGATGACGCTTGCATCATCGAGTGTCGTTGTTGAACGACTCTGGTTATATCATTACACTCGTGTATAAATATATATATTTTTACAGTCACTACTCATACAATAGTTCTACAGACAGTTGCACTATATAATATAACTCAATTGCCGGACGTTCATGTCTCTTCCCCCTTGAATTTCGTGCGCGCGCGCATTTAGAGTCCCGGTGTAGTCGGTTCGATCGCCGACCTCTCGTCTCGCCGACGTTTGTCCGCGTGAGCAATTACATTTTATTGATTTCACTGAAATTGTGACGACGGTTCCCGCGGAGTTTAATAGTTGCCGGTAATGGAATACACAGGCGCGCGCGCAAACACGCGCACGCGTATAAGCGCTGAACAACGTGTAGGCAACGCGTGCGTATGAAGCAGGCAGATGATTTGGATGATACCGCTGCTGTTGCGATGCCAATGGTTCACGAGCGCGAATAATACACGGCAACAAACTCGAATAAACACGCGTCGATAACACCGCGGCCTCAATAAAAGAGAGGGTATAGTGGGCGACGTTTCGAGCAATGGCCCTTTCTTCGGAGCACAGAAGTAGATCAACTCTTTCGGGACTCTACATAGACGCCAGAGAGAGTCTAATACCTCTCCATCCTCTTTCTCTCTCTGTGCGTGTGTGCTGTGAAGAAGGGATATTGCCCGAAACGTCTCCCGTTTATATACCATTTATTTTAAAGGCCACGCATTGTTACTGACGAATAATACACAGCGTGTTAAGGTGAGGTAGGATAGGCTGTATGTGTGAGTCACGATGTTTTATATCATTGCAGCTTAAATATAAACTTAATAGCATCGTGCACGGCAATAACCGCGCAGTTAAGCCGGAACGGTGACCGGCGAAATACTCTCGTAGGCCGTGTAACAAACAAATACATAAACACACAACACAGAACAGAAAAAGTAGAAATTACTTCTTCGGAGTGTCAAAGAGTGTCAGACAAAATACGTACAAGTGCCGCCAGCGGTGGTTTAATTAAAATTAGCGGCATGCGCGGCGTGTGTCTGCAAGCGCTCAATTTAACGCACGGATTTAGCTTTTTTGTTTACAGTACTCGTAGAAGATGTTCTTGGAAGCCGCGGTGATTGCGGTCAACTCTGAACGCAAATCGCACGCTTTCGAGACACGCCAAGCCGCAGACAACGGAGTGGAACGTTGCAAACAACAACAATAAGAATTATATTCATCGAGCGACCAAACCAGTGAACACCGCCTCGGCTACGCCAGTTTCTTTCTCTCTCTCTCGCTCCCCGTGGGAAGTTATTTTACGAACCGGTGCGAGCATCTGCACGTCTTAAAAAAAAGTTCCTAACACGGCTGCTACGCCGTCGCTAAGTTGAAGTCGCGGCATGTATTTCAAACCACGACCTCCAAGTAGGAGCTTGCCCAACTCCCACCACGTCCAATTATACGTTAGCACGGCGTGTACGCGTTGTTTTTTTGTTACGGTTATGTCTTGACTGTCTGTGTCTACAACAACGATCCTACAACTATACGACACGGGCAAAAACATTACCGTGACTTGTCATGCATGCATACAAACAAACAAACGAGGATGGAGAGACCGCATGAGAAGTACGCGCGGCGTCAGATCCATCACGACGCCTCGCCACGCAACAAAATCGCCGCTCGCGGCCACCTCCCCTGCGTCCTTTCCCCGTCGCCGCTAGACCGGGCCCCCTGAACCGTGGCCGCACCGCCTCTGCGTAGAAGCGGGCCCCAGGGCCTAACGGCAGCGCTGCTACCTCTCCCCCCAGCCACCTCTCTCCCGAGTCGAGGTGAACGTGAACGAGCGAACCGCGCACAGCGAGTGGAACGCGCGGCCGACAGGGGAGGAGGAGGAGGAGGGGGGGGGTCCCGTTCTCCCCGCGCGCTCGGTGAGCGGTACGAGAGCGCCCACTACACGCGAAGCGAGCGGCGGCGTCGGCGGCGAGGAGGAGGCTGGAGACCCAGAGCCGCGTACGCACGCAACACAGGAGCAGGGAGAGAGAGAGTGCAGTGGAAAGAAGGGAAAAAAAGTTTCCCTGCTTCCTCGTAAACTTTAGCAACTTCGAAGCGACGCCTCGGCGGACTAGCCCGGCCGGCGAGGGAACGTCGTGCTGAGCCGTGCCGCGGTCTCTCTTCTCCCCCCTCTCTCTCTCTCCCCTCTTGGTCGCAGCGCCTCGAGTGAGCGCTGCCGTGCGGTCTCTGCTCTGGCTGCGGATCGAGACCGGCGCAGCGCCCTCCCAACGCCAAGGGCATGGAGCCCAAAGCCTCCGCTGCTGCTGCTGCGGTGCGCGCGCGTCTCTTGCCCGCCTGGGCTGGCCGAGTGCGTGCCGGCGTGAACTGCTCGGCCACTGTGCAGCAGCCGCGTTTTGTCCTCGAGCAACTTCACCGTATGTAGCCCCCGGGCGCACGTTTTACACGCCAAACTGTAGAAGAGCCTGCGACTTTTTTTCTCTTTGGTCAAGAGCGGAGCGCAGCCGCGCTAATGAAGACGACGACGAGGAGGAGGCGACGGTGAGTGAGTGTGAAGTGAGTGTCGTCTGCGAGCGACTCGGAAAGCGCGCCGCGCACTTACTTTTGGCGAGTTTGCGGGCCCGTCCCTTGGAGCGCATCGTGCCGACGGAGAGGTCGGTTTGATTGAGATTCCGCCGACGCTATCTTCGGAAGAGCATTGTCAGTGCAGGGACACCTTTGCGCAGGCGCACACGCCTCGTGTCACCCCCCCGTGGCCGCCCCTCCCCTCTCTCCCCTCTCTCCTCCTCTCCTCCTCCCCTCCTTTCCTCCTCCTCCACCACCACCACCACCGCCGCCTGCCACCGCACTCGCCACCGCGGAGCTGCCTTGATTGGAGCTGTCAAATCGGCGTTCGAACATCTTGGAAGGAGGGAAAAGGAGTTTTATTTTATTTTTATTTTATTTATTTATTTTTGTCTCTCTCTCCTCCCCCAAGCCTCCTCACCCCCTCCCCTCTCCCCCGCCCCTCCTCTCTCACCAGCTCCCCACACACTTTCCACACACGCACGCACGCACACACAGACCCTCCCCCCCCCCCCCGTCTGAAGTCAACATTCTCGCTCTTCCTGCTGAAAGGGCCGGCGAGTCTGCTGGCCGCGGGAAGCGTTCGGATGGTTCATAGGACCCGCGGGAACAAGCCTCGTCCCGGCGGGCTCAATTATAACAAGTCTTGCGTTAAAAATTCTTGCGTTAAGACAAAAAAAAAACTTCTCTCTGAACGTATGTACCCCGCGCACGTGTTCTGCCTGCCAGCGGCGCCTGTTCGTTCACCTGCGTACATCCCAGCGGCACGCGTAGCAACTCGTGTTGTGTGTTGTGTGTGCGTGTGTTCGCGGGGGGGGGGCTTCTTTTAATTATTTGGGTTGTTTTTTTGTTTGTTATTGTTTTGTTTTGCGCATTTCACATCTCGGCTCGTCGCTCGCCGCGTACAATTGCGGCGTTCGTTGACCGTTCCTCTGTTGCACCTCTGAATTGTACCCCTTTGACGTCTCGCCGTCTCGTGCCCCCCCCCCCCCCCCCGACTTCTTCATACGATTGCCGTCTTGGTGTCGTTACGCGTAGAGATACTACTGCTGTTGTTGTTGTTGTCTTAACCCGTGAACACATTTGACGTTGGCCGTTCACTGTCGCCCCCATCCCCCCCCTCTCTCTCTCTCCCGCATGGATACCAAGAATGGGCACCGCTCATATGAACTATACAAATAAAACCACACACGGACGAGTGTGCAAGAAGGCGTCTTCGCATTCACACGAGTGCGCTTTAAACAGAACAGGGGGTGGTAGAAACGGAACAGGGACACTTTTGAGAACCCGATTTGAAACGAATATCGCCACTGACAGCAGCAGTGTCGTTCGGCAGCTATCCGTACGCGCGAGGAGGCCCCGTGCTCGATGACTCGGGCACGTGGCGCATCACGACACGACACGCGCGGATCAATCCGAGACTCGAGCAGCCAAACCCCCGAGTGAAATTACGGAACGCGTTGAATATTTCAGCGCGATGCTTACGCGTATGTATGTATGTTTGCCCGCGTGTATGTTTTAAGAAAATGCTGATGTCGATTTACAGGGTAGAACTCATCATTGAATGCGCATTCATTGTCGATATTATTTTGATATTATGTACATATATTTATCAATTGTGTCCAATGGCAATATTGTGGCCTAGCTCGTGGTGTGAGACGCGGCAGTGTGAACGCTCATTTCTCCGGGGCAAAGTGATCATTGCGGAGCAATTCATCTCAGTGGGATGAAGAGTTGTGTCCCTACGCCTTTAGGCGGCGGGAGGTGGTGGGGGGGGGAGGGTGTCGTGAGTTCGATTCGTAGCAAACGTCCGTTCAACTTTACGCGACATAAAAAATTAAGAACAAAACGCGTTACCAAAATGTCTCGGCCGACGCTTTGGCTTCCTCGTGAATGAATGCCGGCTGCCTCTTGAGCACACGTGATGATACCGCGTTCTAAAGAGGGGTTGGCGTCAGTTACGCGGTTGTTATATTTATTGTCGCGAGGGCGATGATAGTTATTTTAAATTGATAACCTGATTCCATGCGATTATTCTCGCGTTGATTGCAATAGCAGTACAATTTAAATGTATATCTTTGTACGGCACAGTATATATGTGTATCATGTATACGTGCTTTATGGGCACATATACACACACTGCGTGCAATGCAACACGTGCGTTCATTCATTCATACATCTTATTGAACACGCGCAATGCATTCTTGCCAATCACGTGTTAGAATTTGCGTTCGAACTTTTTCGATATTTTTGATAAAACGGAGTCATTAGATCCGTCGATTCGTGATTTGTGTGTGTCCATTGGATGCTGTCGAATTCATTTTGAGTGGGGTGTTTTCAGAGTACATTTACAGCTGTACTGTTACACGCGCTTTGTGTGTTGCCACGGTCTCGTGGTCGACGCGATGTTGTTTAACATTCACGTGCGGATAATTGTCACTCGTCCGATTCTAAGGTTGCGTTATCTTTTCTAATGTTTTATTTTTACGATTAAAATAAAAAAAAACGAACCGGTGTTGACATTATTTTCTTGTTGGTGTTATTATGTTGGTATTAGTATTATAATCGTATAAGGGGACACTTCATCATAAATCATCTATTTTGCATTTCTTTTCCTCCCATTACACCCGCTTATCAGTGAGTATGTGCTATACCGCAATGCATTATGGAACCTCGCTATGACACAACGAAGATACCGTGAAGACGTTTAACACAGTCTGTGTGTGTGTCTGATATGGCAACTGTGGACTGTATTATGATGCACATCTATGCAGTCTATCAGAGATTGTCTTACATCACAAACGGCAGTCCATTTTCCGCTTAACAGTCGATGCTGCAGGTGTAGTATATACTGTCATGTTCGTTTGAGTGTGTTGCGTAACGCGTGCAATGATTTCACACGTGCGTTGTTTCTTTAGACAAGATCCTTCTGACAGACTTTCAGACGGACACACAGGCGTACAGGCACACAAGCGGACACAGAGGCAAGCAGACAGAGATGCACACAGGCAGGTAGACAGACGCACACACCGGCGCACAGGCACACAGATACACAGCCAGACAGACAGCGTACACACATGCACACATACAGATAGACAGACAGGCAGACAGACGCACCTCCGATTAGCACGGTTGGCTACGCACGGTGCGAAAGAAGTTCAACATACATCCAAATACGCAGACACACAGGTGGACACATGCAGACACATACACAGACAAAACATACGTACGTACGCGCACACAGATACACAGGCAGCCACAGATGCAAACGGACGCACGGGCTGAACAGATCCTGCCTTCCTTCCTCGTCCATCAAAGGTTGACCATGACGACGCTTCGTTTGGATGAGTCTGGGGTGCGGTGAGTGCGCAGATGGCTGAATAGGCAAATCTAAGCACAGAAAGCTGAACAGAGAGACAACCAGTGAGACACGTGTGGACGGACAGATGATACATTAATTTGAAATGACATTTTCCACATTTTGGTGCAATATTAAATAAAGTTTTTCTTTTATTAATCAACCACGTGCAAAGCACAGACTGTGTCACCCATATTGATTTACCTTTCCCCAATTTCGATCTTTTGCCAAATGTAGTTTCTTATTGCAGTTGGTGGGGGGGGGGGTGAGAGGAAAGGGGGGGGGTGCCTTCCTCAATCACGTCGTCTCCTTGTCCCGAGGAGATCCGCTTCGCTGTTCACTTCTTAACGGGCTCTACCGCCTTCTCGGCATCATAGCGAACGCGGTATCGATCAACGATTGCCCAATTATATCCGTGACGAACAGGAGCGCTGGGCGCGCGCGACGCCCGCGCGTTAAGATGAATCAACGCCACCTCGACCTCGACACGGAGCAGCGCTGGGGGTGGGGGGGGCTCGTCTCGCGTTCACGGCCTCAGTTCTCCCTTCTCACCAAACCTCCTTCTCCTCCATCCCTCCTCCTCATCCTCCTCCTGCACGTGCGGTTTCTCTCGACGCATTCTCGTCTCGAGGGACTGTTGGAGCGAGTTCTGTTAGCGAGCACCTATGAAGGCCAACACAGCACACGAGGGTCGCGGTGGGGTGGTCAGCACCACGCCCGGCCGCCTTTGTCTCCCCCAGTGCCGACGTTTACGCGACGCGCCAGGTACCCATTTAAAGGATGAGTCGACACAACGCACGTGCGCACACACACACACACACCACGCATACGCAGATACGCGCAGCACCCACACACGCTCGCACGCACACGCACGCGCACACACCCACACGCGCGCACACGCACGCACGCACACGAGGAAATGTGTGCGGGGGGGGGGCAACATGACCGGTTTTCAGATATTCCTCACTGATGTTGGCCGTGAGCGGGAATCAAACTCGGGTCGCCGGGTTCGTAGCGCAGTGCGCTAACCACTGCACCCCTATGCGCATATATGCATATAGACACACACACACACGTGATACACACACACTAACGCAGAGGTAGGCACAGGAAGACAGACACATAGACGGACACACATTCGTGTGAGTGTATATACACAGAAGAGCACGCGATCGATGTAACGCGTTAGCAGTAGAGGCATTTCCACTCTTATTTTGAACGCACACGCGTGCTGTCCACAACGTCTCACGCGTTTGTGTCGCCCGGGTGTCTGTCCCGTGTCTTTTTACGGTCAATTTCGTTTGATGTCGATCGCTATCCTAATGGACTGCACGCGCAGCGTGGCAGCCACTGTAGTTCCGCGTGTACTGTTGTATGAACTCTGTCGTCTGAACATAAAAAAGGTGTTCTGTGAAGTTTCCCGCAAAAGAAAACTGACCTGTGACATATATATAAAAACCCCAAATATATACATGTGCACACAAAGATCCCCCGTATAGCCTGTAACAGACTGTTGGGGTAAGTGCTGTTAGCGATCACCTACGAAGGCCGGCACGGCACACGAGGGGGTGAGGTGGCCAACACCACGCCCGGCCGCCTTTGTCTCCCCCGTGGCGATGTTTACACATCGCACCAGGTACTCATTTTGAGGCTGAGTCGACCTAGGGGAGGCCCCAGGACCGGTTCAGATAATCGTCACCGGTGTTGGCCGTGAGCGGGAATCGAAGTCGGCTAGCCAGGTTCGTCGTGCAGCGCTGCGCTAACCGCTACACTACCGCTCCCCACGTACATGTAGATATACACACACACGCGCGCATACACACATACATAGATATATATAGAT